GCTATACAGCCCAACGAGCTGGATCTTCGCAGCGGACGGCGCATTGCAGCTACCACGATGACTGACCAGGCTACTCAATGTCAACAAGATCCGTCAGCCCCGCAGCCGATCATTGTGGTGCAACCTCGTGACCCAGGCCCATTCAACGGCACAAGAGGCATAGACGTCAATGACTGGCTGGTTCAATATGAGCGATTCAGCAGCAGCAACCATTGGGATCCGACGCTTATGTTGGCGAACATCATCTTCTACTTGCATGGCACAGCAAAACTCTGGTATGAGACACATCAAGAAGAGTTGACTAGCTGGGACGTGTGTAAGCAGAAATCGCGCTATCTATTTGGGAAACCCATCAGACGTCAAGTGGCCGCAAAGAAAGAGCTTGCGACTCGTGCCCAGACATCCACAGAGCCGTGCATCGCGTACATCCAGGACGTGTTGGCCTTGTGCCGCAAGGTCGACAAGGACATGCTCGACGAGGACAAAATCGGACACATCCTGAAAGGAATTGCGGATGACGCCTTCAATTTTCTCCCGTGCAAGGACTGCTCGACGGTGGAGTCGGTCTTCGAAGCATGTCGTCGCTTCGAACAGCAAAAAGTAGGCGTATAAATCACCAATTTGACCACCTTCCCAACACGGCGGCTACGTCCTCTTGCGAAGATTTGCCCACACTACACCAACCACGAGCGCCAGAAAACGTCACCAGAATAGTCCGTCGGGAACTCGAGGCTATGGCTCCCGCTATGTCTAGCGTCAGCGCGCTAGGACACAACCTCGATGCTGTTTCAATGATACAGGCCGTGGTTCGCCAAGAGATCGCGAATATGGGCATTTCGCCACCTCATCAAAATGCCCCTGCTACTTCCAGCTCGGCTCCAGTCGTTGCGGCTGCCACTCCGAACCGCACGTTCGCGCCACGACAAAACCCAGCTGAATGGCGCACTCATGATGATCGGCCCATGTGTTTCACGTGCCATCGGATAGGACACAACGCTCGCCATTGGCGTAGCCGTTGGACCTCATCACCTCGGCCGAGCTTCTGTGATTGGCGGCCTCACTCTGAACGTGCACCTTATGCCCCGTCCTACCATGCTGAGACAGGTGCAGAGCATAATCCAGAACGTCGGACCAGCCGCTCGCCATCGCCCGTGCGTCGTCAGTCCCGCTCGCCCCAACCCCGCCGTTATCGGTCTCCCTACGACCGTCGCTCGGAAAACTAGCTGGTGCAGCCCCCGGAGGTGACGCTGCATACCCGACTCGGACTGCAAATCCTCTGATTACTCCCGACCAGCGGTGTAACCTTCTTACAATTCTCGTTGATGGTTTACCTATAACTGCTCTTCTTGATTCCGGTGCACAAATATCTGTGATGAGCTCCGACCTCCGCCGCCGCCTCCATAAAGTTCTGACGCCTGCGATTGCACCTACCGTTCGCACAGCGGATGGGAGTACTCCTGCTGTGCTTGGAATGTGCAATGCGCGATTAACAATTTCTTAGCATCAAACTTCAGTTCTGTTCGCTGTACTGGAAAATTGCCCTCATGACCTCATCCTTGGACTCGACTTTCTGACGTCACACGCTGCGCTCATTGACTGTTCCAAAGGTCTTCTTCGGCTCGTACTACCATCTTTTTCGTAGACCGTCTCTATCAGCCCACCTCGTCTACGCTCTGTCGATTTCCTCAGACTTCCGCCGCAAGCCGCAGTCCAAGTCCAACTCTCGCCATATCCTGCAGTACCCAATGGTGATTATGTTGCTGCCCCAATTTCTGACGTCGCCATGACACACAATGTTGCACTCCCCAACACGGTGGTTACCGTTAAGGACAACCGAACTTCATTTCCCGTCCTCAATTTCGGCCTCTCAGCGCAAGTTAGTCCTCGCGGCATGTCACTTGCGCATCTTACACCACTGGTCGACCACACAGTTTTCGCTCTAACCAACGATTCGCCACCCGATTTTTCATCAACGTCGTTCTTGCACGTTCCTGTTCCGACCTTTTCAAGCCAATGCTATCTGACAAGCTCACCTCTGAACAAGTCTCTGCTTTCTGCCGTGTGCTTGCTTCTTATCAGGACATCTTTGACTTCGGCGACCGTAATTTGGGCCAGACATCCATGGTAACCCATCGCATCGACACCGGTGACGCTCGACCCATTCGCCGACGACCGGACCGTGTGTCAGCCCCGAAGCGTGCTATTATAAAGCGAGAAGTCGATAAAATGCTTGATAAGGGCATAATCGAACCCTCATCTAGTCCCTGGTCCTCACCCGTTGTACTTGTTAAAAAAAGGACAATAGCTGGAGATTCTGTGTTGATTACCGCCATCTCAACCTTAATACCAAGAAATATGTCTATCCCCTACCACGCATAGATGATGCACTCGATTGCTTGCACGGTGCCAAATATTTCTCTTCAATAGACCTTCGCTCAGGCTACTGGCAGATTGCTGTGGACGACAATGACAGAGAGAAGACGCCCTTCGTGACTCCTGACGGACTTTATCAGTTCAAGATGATGCCTTTTGGATTATGCAATGCCCCCGCGACATTTCAGCGCATGATGGACTATCTCCTTTGAGGCATGAAGTGGACCATCTGCCTATGCTATCTTGACGACGTACCCCCCCCCCCCCTGACCACTCCTTACAACTGTTCGTTCTTCACAACGACATCTTGCACCGCTACAACGCTTACCCAGACGTAGCTGAGCTTTTACTCGTTGTTCCTGTGCCTCTTCGATCAGACGTTTTGACCCAGCTGCATGATGCCCCCTCCGCTGGACACCTAGGGGTGTCACGCACGTATGACCGCATTCGCCGCCGATTCTTTTGGCCTGGCCTCTACCGTTCTGTGCGACAGTACGTTGCGGCATGCGACCTCTGCCAGCGCCGCAAGACACCTGCTCTGAGACCTGCTGGTACCCTCCAGCCCATTGAAGTACCAGATGAGCCATTTTTCCGAGTCGGCCTCGATTTTCTAGGACCCTTTCCCGTGTCGGCCACCGGTAATAAGTGGATAGCTATTGCTAGCGACTACGCAACGCGGTATGCCGTTACACGCGCCCTCCCCACCAGCTGCGCTACTAATGTAGCTGATTTCCTTCTTCATGACATCATTCTGCGTCATGGTGCTTCTCGTCAGTTGATCGCCGACCACGGCAGCTGTTTTCTATCTAAAGTAGTCGACGAGCTCCTGCGATCCTGCTCTACCCACCACAAGTTCACTACAGCGTACCATCCGCAAACCAACGGCCTCGCGGAACGCCTGAACCGTGCCTTGACGAATATGTTAGCGATGTACGTCTCCAAGGGTCACAACGAGTGCGACATCCAATTACCTTTTGTTACCTTCGCATACAACAGTTCGCGTCATGATACAGCTGGATTTTTCCCTTTCTACCTACTGTTCGGTTATGATCCGCCTTTGTCCAAGGACACCATGCTCCAACCTGACGCCTCCTCATAGACTGCTTATGCTCGTGAAGCCCTGGCCCAAGCTTACAACGCCCGCCAAGTCGCCCGGGGTTGTTTATGTGCCTCGCAGCTTAACCAAAAGAGTGCTTACGATCGCCGGCAGCACGACGTACTGCACTCTCCGGGTTCACTCGCCTTGCTGTGGTTACCATCACGTCGTGTTGGTCTCTGCGAAAAACTAATGTCCCGTTACGTTGGCCCCTACCGCGTCATACGCAAGGTCACCAGCGTGACCTATGAGATAGCTCCACTCCATACCACGTCAGTACCAGCTTCAGTCCCGACCGATATAGTGCACGTCTCACGGCTTAAACCATACTACTCACGCCTCGAGAATTGATCGCACCGGGACGCTGCTTCTGCCGCCGGCCGGTAATGTCACGGGCTAAGTAGATGCCAGAGGATGACGACGACGAAGTGCTGAACGTGAACGTGCTCGGACTGCAGCAGCGTTGTACGCATTAGCTCGCCAGTATATTCGCCAGTACGCATTTGCTCGCCAGTGTATACTTTATTCCCCGTAACATCATAGCTAGACTTTGTAGGTGGCTGAAAATGCTGCCTTGAGGCAAGCGTGAAACATCAAAATTGATCACACACCATGGGTGTAGGCTCCTTCGCTCATTTCGCAAATTACAGGAAAGTGCCCATACTTCCTGCAAAGCACGAGTGCAGCCTCCAAAAGCTTAAATTTACGAAACTAAAAAAAGTTACCAAAAAACAAAAAAACAACAAGAGCTTGATGAAGCGAAACTTTAACAAAAGAGACAACAGCCAGATACCACACATACAACCTGGTTTTCACGTCCTTTTGAGAAAACGAGGGCCACCTTCTAACACTTAACAATTCGGACAATTCCAAGTTGCTAAGACAGAATCTCAGCATGCAATATAGAAGAATGTGTGGTACAGTAGAGCGTCAGGTCAAAAATATTGTGCAGCCATTAGCAACGTATTGAAGTATTACACCAGCAGGAATAAGCAAAAATGTCGAGAGGAGTGAAACGGTCTGCGCTCATCGCAGATATGAACACAAAGACAGGAAATAAAGGGTAGAATAAAGAGGAAGAACTGAGAATAAAATGGCGGAATGATTTGCGTCTATTTGAGGTGTTGGTTAGTGTTAGAATGTGTTAGTTTCCTGAGAAACTTTGCAGAAGTTTTTGCTGAACACAAGTTTACGAATACTCCTTTTTGCTGCACAAATTCTCACAGTGGAATCGGCTTGAACGGGACTTGCCGACGGCCACATGCAAGCAATCTTCAAAAAGATACTGTTACACTCATAGGTACATTGTGTTTAAGAGTCGTTTTTTATAAACATCTAGTTAATATTAGTTGTTTTTTTTAATTAGACATATGCTACGCTGTGTGTTTCCCTCTGCAGTAATACCCTCGAATACTGCAGGTATTTTTGAATATACATAAAGGTAAAACAGAACACAAGAGACTACCACATGACTGCACGCCAGTTAAGGACACGTTGTTTTTTTTACAAAAAAAAGATAAGAGGCACTTACGTTCCTGAAAAGTCAACTGCCTAGAGTGATGGAGCCACCCTACTTGTAAAGCAGCGCCATCTTTCTATACAAGGCACCTGCAAAAGTATTTACAAAAACATGGTTCCATTGTATAATCAAGACCTGTGTCTTTGACAAAAAATGTAGTGGGTGAGCAAATGCATGAGGGCACTGTGTTGGCGCAATATGTCTTGTTGCTTCGCCGGGATGGTGAAAGCACTCCTAGTAGAACAAAAATAACACAGATGGACCAAGGTGTTATTGGTATACCGTATTGACAGAAAAAAATAACGTTGTTTGTTTCGGAAAATTTTAAAAATCAAAGTGTGTTGAGCGCACTAATCTTCGCAATAATGGTTGTCATCTCTGATTCCGCCACTTACATCAGCCCCACGCATCAGAGCAGCGGCGTAGGCAGACGTTTTTCTTTTTGGGTGGGTGCACCAACTTAATCTAAACAGGTGGCCAAGCAAGCACATGTAGTCTAGTGTCGTTTTGTGCCGTATAGGTCTGTACAAAAATAATAAAATTGGCAAAAGACGCGTACCTTAGAAATTGACGTTGTAGGAAGCATGCGGAGAGAAAGTGAAACGCTACTAAAAGTCATTAAAGTTATGCATTATCAGCGTCAATTCAAAGCCGAACAGCGTAGTGCGCACCATCTAGTCATCCGCGGAGACAGGCACACATATCCCGTTTGGGAGCACAGCGCCATTTCACTGAAGTGCGTTTTTTTGCCTTTGTTTCCACTGGGACTTTTGAAAGATTTAAGAAAAAGAAGAGACGCAGACATTTCGCAATAATAACAAATTCAATCGGCATACCAGCGCATCGCAGCATATCGCTCGCAGCTGCTACGGTTGTTGACATTGGAGTGCCGGTCGCATGTGGCCGGTTTCGCTGCGGCTTCGTGCTTCAGCTTTGTCATGATATCGGCGTCGGGGCATGATACGAAAAAACAATGAAGATATGGCTGGTGAAAATCTCAACATTAACTTATGCATGAAGTTGTGACACGAAGGTCGTGCACACTCTAATTACACTTCAAAACACAGGTCCTTAATTAAAGGAGCATTGACACTTAAAGTATTCGTCTTGTCTGTGTGACGCGATGAAGGTCACCCAGACATTCCCATCCCCCCCTCTACCTTCAAACAGCCACGGTTGCGCAGCCAACGAATCCTATTACGTGCCTTCGCCAACAGTTCGTGCCCTTTCCAGACCAAACTAAAATGTAATAAAGACGTCTGCTGTATTCAGCACAATGAAACAAAAACAAAACTAAAAATTTGTCTAGTTTTCACCGGACCTGAAAAGGCAAGCAGAAAAATGTGACTTTGTGGTAAAATAACATGACTTATTGGTGACCGAATAATCGTAGGAATTATAAATGCAGCATAGAAAGAATGTCTTTCTCGTAAACGGCTTCACACCATCGAATAAATTGTAACAACGTTCCAGGCAGTGGAAATATATTAGAAGAGCGTGAAAGAGACCCAGAATCTGAATTTCAAAGGGCGAGCCCCACGGGAGTCGAAGCAATGGAATTTACAAAAACCAGCAACAACGAATAACTGACAGGAGAAGCCACCGCTGATCATGGAACTAAAGTGTTCACGATGTGGAAGAATGTACAGACCACGCGAATGCCCCCTCTACGGTTCAAGCTATTACAACTGTGGCAAATTCGGACGTTTTTCGAGCGTATGTAGGCAAGGCCAACGGGGTAGTTATACCTACCAACAGCGAATAGGTCTCCTTCAAGGTAATTAGCAGCTCGATCAGCAGCTAGGTTTTTAAAGACGATAGTCTTTCTTGGGGACCTTCGAAGGAAAAATTTTGGTCTGTCTGTCTGTCCACCCTTAACAATACCTCAAACGGCCGACCTAAGCCGCTGCGCCCACCAATATTGCTCAAGGTTCAGCGTTCCTACTTGTGCAATTGTCAAATAAAAAAGCAATCATTGTGGGTATCTGAGGTACCGTAGCAACAGGTCGATGATTTTATGTGTGTTCTTATAGCAGAAAAGACACAAAAAAGTAATTATTTCTAAGGACTGTAGAGTTTATTACGCGGCGCTTGAAGTGCAACGGGATGCTCAAAAAGGCAAGTGTTACAAACGCTTTTTCTTGGAGAATCTCGACCTTCACAACGTCAACAACTCGGAGTCGACAAAATGATCAGCTTAAATGACCAAAATGTCACCTTCAAGCTTCATACCAGCTCCGACGTGAATAAATTGGCTAAACGTCAGCTAAACATGTTGCCAACGTAGCCTCTATTCAAGCCAACAGTGCGCGAGTGACAACTTATACGGGACAGCAACTTCCCATCAACGCGGATTACGAGCTGCGCTGCTCAACTAAAAAAAACGATTGGATCCTTAATTTTCTCGTCGTTAGCCTGCCGCTGAAACAAGTTTGGGTGCCAATGCATGCGAGGCCAGCAATCTGATCACGACAAGGCAACCGCAGCGAACAACAGCACCTGCGTGCTCGGCAACGCTACGGTTTGAAGACGTGCTCAACGACTTTTCGGACGTGTGGAGTGTATCGGAAAACCACCTGCAGTTTCCTTCATACAACTTAAAAGAGAAACTGCCACGGTGTCAGCGTGACGCCGTGTACCCGGCGCATTTACAGTCAAGGAACAACTGCAACGAATACAACAAAATTGAATAATCACAATAAAAGACATTTAGGGCAAGTTTTGATCCAAGCAACTACTGCGAGACTCTGTCTAATTTTATAATAGACCACGCAAGATATGACCCACATACCATCTTGAGGAACGGTCTCACCCACCTCATAGTACGTGCATCATCAACACGCATGCTCACTATTCTAGACTACGAAGTCACTTCCCTTGAATGGTAAAGCTTGTCTACGATAATAAAGAAGGGGAGCGTGGTGTTACATGTGCTCGCAGTATCCCAGCTTATCTTCTAGTGCGGCCATCTATGCGTCGCCTTGCGTTGCGCCTCCGAATCTGTGTTCGGAGAATAACAGCTCCACTTGTGCTCTCGACTGGAACGGTCCGTATCTATCACGACTCAACGACAACAAAATATAACAAAGCCCCTGTTTTGACACTCTTTGGGTAGCTCTGCACTACGCCATTAACCATTGCGTAGTAGGCGGGCATTCATTATGCCATCCTTCGTCGTTCTACGGAGAAGCGTGGTAGCCGCTGTACAATCGCAAGAAATTTTGCGCATTTTTTGCACTGTGGCGAAAACGATGAAGAATTATGTCAAAAGCTTTTTTGAATCCCCACGATCCCCCACTGTATTCATCATCATAATCATCGTCATCATGATCATCCTGATTACGCCCACTTCAGGACAAAGGCCTCTCCCATGTTTCAGCAGTCAACGAGGTCCTGTGTTTGCTGCTGCCACTTTATCTCCGCAAACTTCCAATATAATCTGCCAGCCTGAGCTTCTGTCTCCCTTTAACCCACTTGCTTTCTCGCAGTCAGTGACCTTTATTCATCAGTTGTTACCCTGCCTACGCACTATATTCTCGGCTCATGTCGATTTCCTTTTCTTGATTTCAACTATGATAGTCTTAACGCCGGTTTGTTCCCTGATTCACCCTACACTCGTCTTCTCTCTTGAGGTTACGCCTATCATTTTCCTTACCATCGCTCGCTGTGTCGTCCTCTATTTAAGCTGAAACGTCTTTGTAAGTCTTTACGTTTCCCTTCATAGCTAACTACCGGCATAACGAAGCTATTACATACCTTCCTCTTAAGGAACAGTGGCAATCTACCAGTCATGATCTGAGAGTACATTGCCAAATGTGCTCGACCTATTCTTACTCTTCCAGTTACTCAAACCTCATGGTTCGGCACAGCAGTAAGTAACTGTCCTAAGTAGACCTAATTTTTTAATTCTTCACGTGCACTATTGTATGCCTACCTCGAACCACCGTTTTCTTTCGAGGTTGTTGTGCATTACTTTCGTTTTCTGGAGAATAATTTTAAGACCTGCCTTTCTGATCTCGTTGTCTAACTTCATAATCCTGAGTTGCGATTCGCCTCCTGAGTTACTCAGCAATACGATGCCTTCGGCAAAGTGCACGATACTAAGGTATTCTCCATTACCTCTTATCTCTAACTCTTTCCACTCTAGGCCTCCTAAGACCTCCTTTAAACACGTGGTAAATAGGCATTGGCGAGATTTTAATTCCCTGCGTTAAACCTTTTCTTGACTGATATTTTGTCGCTTTTTTCTCTGGAGAACTATGGTGGCAGTTAATCCCCTGTAGATTTCTTCGGGGTCATTTATGTATGCTTTGTCGACCCCATGATTGTACACTGTCTGCATTACTGCTAATATTTCCACTGTATAAACGCCTTCTCGTAATCAATGAAGCCTATGTATAGTTGGTTGTATTCTGAGAATTTTTCTATTGCTTGATTGATAGTATGAATGTGGTCGATTGTTGAGTAACCTGTTGGAAATCCGGCTTGTTCATTTAGAGATGGTATTCTAATGTTGTTTTAATTTTGTTAGCGATTACATTTGTGAATAGCTTGAATACGATGGAGAGCAAGCTGATCGGCCTGTCATTCTTAAAGCACTCGTCATCTCCTTTCTTATGCATTAAAATTAATAAAGAACGTAATAATTTACGGATCTTGAATACAATGAACCAAAAACGAGGAAACCGTAAGTTGATATGAAGGAGCCCCAATGTCGAAAGTAAGAAAGAAATACACTGTATACTGACTGCACACCCAGGCATTGGGCCGTATGTGGAAGTGCTTGGCAAAATATGACGTAGGGATCTTACAACCATACACTCTCTAATTCTGCTAAACTTGAAGAAGGAACGACAGAATTTGATACGCAAAAAACTAGTCAGAGAGTTAGCACTGAGAAGGAAAGTAAAACAATCAAGGGTCTCGCTTCAGAACAAGTACTCGGCTTTTACCGAAGAAAGCAGCCTTAGGGTTGACGCAAAGAATGATAATCTGACGAGTATCAGTACGTTGTGTGCACCTGAAGTTGGAGGTATCATACTCAGACAGGACACAGATAAGCTGTCCCAGCAGACTAAGAACCTCATCAAGAAGGTTCAAAGGAAGAAAGCTTCAAATAACACAGACAAAATAGAGAAGTTGATTTTTGAGTGAAAGGTATCCGATGTAACAAAGTTCAGAATGAAGAAAATTGAACACGCCCTGAAGAAGAGAAAAAGCACCAAAGAGTTGAAGAGGAAACTTGCAGTAAGCAGACACGAGATGTATGCACTAGGGAACAAAGAAGGTAAAGTAACTACCAGCATGAATAGAATAGTTAAAATAGCAGAGGAGGTTTACAAAGTGCTGTACAGTAGCCCGCACAACCACGACCTTAATATGAAAACTAATAGTATCCCAGATGGCATCCCACCAGTAATGGAAGCAGAAGCCATAAAAGCCTTGAAGGGAATACAAAGAAGCAAAGCTGCTGGTGAGGACGAGGTAACATCAGATCTGCTGAAATAAAGGGGACAGATTGTGCTACAAAAATAGCCAACCTGTTTACGAAGTGTCTCTTGAGAGTGGGTATCCACCACCGTTCATAGGCGGATTTCAGAGAGTTTGACAATTGGACGCCAAGGAGCTTGGGGACCCATGAAGCTTGCTTCACGCCAGAGAACATGCGCATACTTCAAGCGTATCTTGGGCTCTTG